TTCTCATGTTCATACAGCTGATCAATTAGCCGACTCATTTACGAAGCCTCTAGCTCATAAACTTTTTGCATTACATCAGTCCAAGATTGGCCTCCTTGATCGGAGCACCATCTCGCGGGGGCATGATAAGTAGATGAGATTTCCCTAACTGTTTGAGGAAATCTCTCTACTCTGTTGAGGGAAATCCTCTAACCTGTTGAGGAAACTTCTCCCTTCTAACCTATATAAAAGGAAGGGGGATATGTTAATAATAATCAACTTCTTCTACACTTGTTTATCTATTTATTATCTAACAGTATTCACCGAACGTTGGCTCTCGTGGAGAGGGCCTTTTACTGACCGAAGATGGGGACTGATGTGGAGGAATATGTTCAAATGTGCCTCACTTTCCAACAAGACAAGATGGAGCAGCGGAAGCCGGTGGGACTTTTGGAGTCATTGTCCGTACCAGAAAGGTCGTGGGAGAGCATTTCCTTAGACTTCATATCAAGCTTGCCACTAGTAGGGAGACTCGGATCGATACTCGTGGTAGTCGATCGATTTTCAAAGTATGCAACTTTCATTGCTGCTCCCCTATACTGTTCAGTAGAGGAGGCGGCCAAGCTGATGATGAAGGATGTGGTGAAGTATTGGGGGGTCCTGCACAATATCATCAGTGATCGAGATGCTCGGTTCCTGGGACGATTCTGGACCGAGCTATTCAAACTGTTGGGATCCAAGTTATACTTCTCCATAAGTCTCCACCCCCAAATAGATGGCCAAACCGAGAGGATAAGCTCGCTCCTAGAGCAATATTTTCGGCACTATGTGAGTGCCAACCAATGAGATTGGGTGAAGCTGTTGGACATTGCCCAATTCTCCTACAACTTACAGCGGAGCTCTACATCCAACAAGAGCCCCTTCGAGATCATTACAGGACAACAACCGTCAACTCCTCACACCATGGCAATTAGGTATACCGGGAGTAGTCCATTAGCCTACCACTTCGTAAAGGAGTGGCATCGAAATGCAGATATTACGCGGGCTTACTTGGAGAAGGCAACAAAAAGGATGAAGAAGTGGGCAGACTTGGGAAGGCGACCGCAAGAGTTCAAGGTTGGCGATTTGGTGTTGGTAAAGCTCCAACCAGCATCACTCCAATTCGTTAGGAACAAAGTCCACAAAAGATTAGTGCACAAGTATGAAGGGCCCTTCCCAATTATCAGTAGGGTAGGCAACATCTCCTACAAGTTGCAGATGCCGGCGTGATTCAAAATTCACAACGTTCTTCATGCCAGCAACCTAAAAGCCTATCACTCGAATCCACAAGATGCTTTCCAAGGTGTTTCAACTCGGCTACCCCCCATCACAGCCTCCTACGAGAAGCGAGTTGAAACCATTCCGGCGGACTACAAGATAAAGCTACCCAATAGATCTGAGCAGACAGAGTAATTGGTGAAGTCGTGAAAGCTTCCCCGAACTAAAGCTAGTTGGGAGCCTGAAGATGCCCTACTACATGAAGAAGCAATCATCAACAACTACCAACAAGCGTCGATGAGGGCATCGACAGTTTAAGTGGGGGAGAATGTCATGAACGGTCGTCGCATACCCATAACAACTCCATTCAATGAACCGTTCGTCGCTCTCATCTACATGTACAGCAGCTTGGAAACATGTTTTGCCTTGGTTTTGAGTCATTTTTCTTGTAAAAAATGTAAGTTGCACTACAAAGCGACCGCTCACCGAACCGAGCAAAACAGCTCCGTTTTTGTGTGCCATGGGCTGTTTTCTATAGTCCGCTTCCGCTCACCAAAATATTAGCCATCTTAGCCCCTTAGAACCCCCTAGGTGGCACAAAGCTAGATGGGGCATCGGTATAGTGTCGGGCGTTGAACAACCTTTCGTAAGTTTACACGTTACCTTGACGAAAACTTGTTGTCACGCCTGGCACCTAGTGAGCAGCTGCTTGTGGACTTACAGTTATTCGTTTAATCCTCTAAAGTCCTTGTTTTCCCCCTCTCCCTCTTTTCTCTTGTGCAAGCAAGGTGCTTGCTGAATTGCTTGTAAGGCTTCCCCCTTTCGCGAGATGTCGGGACTTCTCCGTCGCTCGTTCTTTTGAACTAATCAACTTTCTCTTTTACAGGTCCTTCGGGACGTGCGAGAGGTTGCAAGTGGGTTGATCTTTGCAGAGTAATATCGCAAGGGCAAAGCACGACTTAGGCAAGGCAAGCTAAATTCGTGTCTTTGATGCAAGGGTGCCTCGTGACTTAGGCAACGTAAGCTAAGTTTGCGTCTTGGCCGCAAGGGTACCTCACGCCTTAGGTAATTCCAGCTAAGGTCATGACAGCCAGTACCCCGAAAACCAAGGATGAGACACTTTTAGGCTCCAAATTTGAATCTACTTGAGGCCTATAAATACCCCTCTCATCCTTGGTTAGTATACACAAGAATTGAGAGCAAAAAGAAACAAAAACACTATTGTAATCTTATGAGAACTCCTCTCAAGCTCTAAGTGTTAGTCTTGTTTAAGATAGGAGTAAAGGGGGTTGTAAAGGTTCTCTCCTAAACCCGTCAAAAGGAGAATCGAGTTACAAGGATAGTTGATCTTCACCCATTGAAGGAATATCGTTAGTGGATGTCAGTGGCCTCGACGGATGAGGAATCAAGAGTGGATGTAGGTCACTATAAAACTTATGCATTTCTATTCGTGTAATTTATCTTTACTGCAAATTGTCTTACCTGCTTACTGCTTTCACTGCACTTACGAACGAGATTTGAAGTTATCTTTCCGATATTGGTTTTATCAAACAAAGAATTTTTTAAACCGGTGATTTTATCCGCTGAACTAATTCGCTCCCCCCTCTCAGTGTCGTTCTTGATCCTAATAGTTGTGAAGTCGATGTGCTGAAGGATTGAGTGATATATCGAAGGATAGGGCAATGTGTCGGAGGTTCGACCTAAGTGCGAAAAGATCATAGGACATTTCAAAAGAGTGAACAACATGCTAAAAGCTTTGAAGATATGCCAGATGAGTGGTTAATAAGTCAAGGTCTTATCAAGATAATTTTGGGTTAATTTAAGTCGGTATTAGGTTGAAACAAAGCTCACTTATAAGCTATTGGGCTTAAAGTTGAGCTGAATTTGGGTTATTAAAAGGCCAAACACATGAATCTACCTAGGCTAATAATGATACTACTTATGATAGTGGTAGTACCACTAAAGTCAAGTTCTATGGTATTGTATCAAAAATTATAATGGTAGAATCGTCGATGTCTAGTATTACAAGTATATATAAAAAATTATAATGATAGTACCACGAAAATCTAGTATTCCGGCTTATATCAAAAATTCGGATGAAAGTACCATAGGAGTCTAATATTGCAACTCCATTTCAAAGATTAATATGGTAGTATCATCTAAAGTCGATAATAATATTGCTTGCATCCTAAAATATTACGAATTTTAATTTTTCACTCTATTTTGAAAGTCTTTTGGGGATATAAAGGTCTCACTCAGATTTAGTTAATGAAGTATTCATTGTTGATATTGTGAAGTATTGTAGCTCTCTCTTAAAGTATTGTTTAAGTCGCCACTCTCTTGTGTGTAGTTGTAATTATAAATGCTAGAGGTGAGACAAAGTCTCTTATAAAAGAGTGAGCATTAGTGTTCTTTCCTAAGTGTAAAAAAAGAGAAAGTTGAAACAAAGACTGTTGATGTTCGTCCATTGAAAAAAAGATTGATAGTGAAAGTTGATGATCTCGAGGGAAGAAGAATTAATAGTAGGCGTATGTCAAAAAGATCGAATCATTATTAGTCACTTTGTATCTTTTCTCTTTATGTAACTTTTACACGTGATCATTCGTTTAGTTTTTTACTCGTACTTCATATAATTGATGGTATCAAATTTTATGGTTAAAATTTGTTACAAAATTCTATTGTTAAGATCCTAACATGATCAGGATATAGAAATGGTGGTAGCTGATGGCTTTAGAAATTTTATTTTGAATCAAACTCTTTTTGTTCTCGTCAGGATGCTGTAGAAAAAGACTCTTGTGCTTTGGGTTGTGCAAAATATTGTCCAAAGTATTTGATCAACATTGTTCATATTTGACTGATTCAAATTCTCTCATGTCTTCAGAGAACAAAAGTAAGACGGTCAATTGACTGCCTAGATTTGCCAGGGGAGTAAGAAGCATCTAATTTTTTTGTTTGTTTTGAGAGGAGACTCGCCCTCTCGGTTGGATTTTGTGTTCCCCTATGATGCCAGGGGCATCTTTTATACTTGGGTGATATAGTAGTACAAGCTTTTCTGTTTTTTGAAAACAAAAATCATTACACTTCTTGCTAGCTCTTAGAGTTCAATATTTTTGGACAAGGATCAGCAGCTTGGCCATCACTTCATTCGAAGGACACACCATGCAACTTTTACAAAAAGAGTCGACGCAGATCCAACACAAACACAATGCAATTTTTAATTTAAAACATGGGTATTATGAGGTGGTACGTGTTTTGACCATCACTTCATTCGAAGGACACACCATCTTGTGCTGCTTCTGACTAGCGCAAAACAAAATTGAATTGTTATATACATATATATACATATATATATATATATACATATATATATATGTATATATATCAAATTGTCAATTGGATTTGCTATAAGATTTGAGGGAAATCTGAGTCGTCAGCCGTGTACCTACGCACGAGGAATGGCTTGTGACTCCTCATCGAACCATAGACAAGAAAGCTAAAAAAACTGCGCCCGATGTGTGATTACTATCGCTTTGTGTGCGTTAGTTTTATCTTTCCGTGCAGCAACCAAATACTTAAAACTCACATCATTTATGACAAGCCTCTTCCTTAACTAAATCTGCTTGATAAAAATCTGACAATACACCAGCATTTTTTGATACCCATATTATAAAACAATGTGTGCTTACACCACACTCCAAGGACCTTAGGAAACGAACAGATTCGTAGAAGAAGATAAACGAATTCTTGTCCAATAATTCATCACGAGTTGCTTAATAAATAAATGTTTTACCTCCTAGATTATGAACTCCTCCACTGAAGCTCGACTTGAATGCGGCCATTTCTGGAGTCAATAAGATGATATTTCTCATTGATTCTCTTATTGGTGACGGCATCTGCAACGTTGATGACCACATATCCCAGCATTTCCTGAGGACTTCAATGTAAGTCTCCAGAAGCAAGCATCAAAAGTTAATAATGCCTATCGATTATTAAGAAAGATCAACATGGCAATTAGTAAGCATGCAAGAGCAATATAGTCGAGTCACTCCCACAAATAGAGAGGTCCATGAAGATTTCCTAGTTAAAGAAAAGAAAGAAAAAAAAAGGGGGGGGGGGTATACTTCTCTCATATTTTCATTAACTTATTATTGAGGCTAATCTACTGATCCAAAGTGATCAAACTCAAGTCAACAACAACACATCCATGAAGTCCTTATAATTCAATTAAATCTTTACCCACACCAGTATGAAGCTAAAGTAAAAAAAAAAACAAAAAATGGGGGTTGTATGTCATTTTAAGTAGGATAATTAATTAGTTACATGTGAAGATCATAAGCATGAATTAAGCTCACATAAATTTCATGGCAATTTATCAATCCACCAATTAAATGGATTAACTATTTGCAAAAAGAACATATTAAATACCATAACGAAGCAGAGAGACATACTGCATCGATGCAAAAAGACCAACAAAACAATTGAATGCAGAAAATTAAAAAAAGTAATAGCACTCGTACCTTAGAGTGGATTCCAATGCTTGGGGGCTTACTAAGAACCTCCACATGCATCTTATCATTTGTGGGTGGCTCCTCGCACATGTACTGGAACTCCTCTTCCCATCGTGGATCTCTGTTCTTCTTGAGGCACTGCACCGATCGCAACGACAAGTCACCTTGTGCATTCTCGATGTGGAGCGTTCATGACGAAAGCTCAATAGAACGTGAGGCTACATCACCCTTGATCCTCGACTTACCTTGGTCTTCTTCTCCTCTCCTCTGAAAAGGATCCGGACATAGGGATTGGTATGGTGCTTCCCCTCGAGATCTTGAGCTTCGTGTACGATAACCACGAGCAAACCACCACCTGCGGGAGTGCCTTCAGGAGGCTTTTCGATCTCACCTTCATCCTCGCTGATGTCGTTGGCGACCTCCCCTTCCTTGAAAGGCCTATATGTGACCTCGAGAACGATCTGTCCACGCGACTTGTCGTTTTGAGGATCATTGGGATCCAGATTTTTGAGCAAGTCCAGCGTTAGAGATTTAGTCTCGTCAGGGGTAAGATCCTTCAACGGGATAGAATTCACGCCCATCTTATCATGCTTTCCAACCTAGAGGGGAAGGATGCATTCGTATCGAATCGATCAGCACGTACAGCAGACCAAAACATTACGCTACAACTCCCGATAGTTAAAGAGGCAATACCTGTTCCCAGTCATAGACACTGAGCTCCAGAGCTTGAGATTCTGGTTCCTTGACGACCAACTTGAATTCCTCGTTCCACTCAGGGTTCAGGTTGCTACGCTTCACGGTGGTTTTCTTTGATGGAAGATTGTCATCTGAAAGCTTTAGTTTTACGTATGGATCAGACTTACCCAACAGATCTTTTTTCTTCAGTTTATATGCCCGGACGACATTCACATTTAGAATACCAGTTGGCTTCTTCTGAGCTCTGCACATCGAAGATGCTTCATAAGACTAGTGAGTTCGAAATTGTGAAGATAGATAATAATAATAATAATAATGGTATAATAGCAGGTAAAATCTTGCAAACCCCACCGCGTTGGGTCCATAATTGCCACTTGCAGTGTTTTAGGCCATAGATACATGTTGGCGACCTGTTTCTTAATCGTCTCCTGCAGAGGACAAAAAATGTACATCAGAAACAGAGGAAATAGATAGATAGATAAAAAGGCATAAACAGCCAACCTGAATAAACAAACGTATCTATCTCCAACGACAGATGCATAGATTAATTACACTGCAGTATATATGCATAGGAATAATCTAACGTTTTATGGATGGACTCGTCAGGAACAGCGATGACACCTGAACAAATCTGTAAAGACCAGGTATCGACATAAGATCGGCTCCCAGAAGCTTCAATCCAAAATCAACATGTGGCTGCAAGAGATGAAAACATGGTTGGGGGAGTGACTGACTGACTAGAGCTCGTAGTAAATTCATCAAACGTGAGTCGCTACTTCTGGTTCACCTTCTCCATGAGCGATACAAGGATCTTTGCAAAACAAGGGAAACTGGGGACGAGTGGCTTCAATGTGATGCGTGGTATAGCAAAGACTTGTAAGTCTATTACCTGAAAAGACTTGGAAATTTGGGAAAAACGTGCATGCTTAAGCACAAAAATTTAGCTTCTATTTTTTCTTACAAAAATGGACATCGAATACCCAAACCTGTGCGCTTGCTTTTAGTCCGAATGCCTTGACCACAACAGTGACGTTAGGATTTCCAGCCCATTTGAGTGATGGTTCCATGATTAGTTCCTTTTCGTCCGTGGTGTAAACTTTCATTCCTGCAACATAACATCAAATTTATATGATGTATTCATAAACCTCATATGACCGGAGAAAGAATCTGAGATCACTGTCAAAATGTCTGATATTAGCAGAAAAGGGGACTGAGTAGCTTAGAACAGTCGAGTAAAAATGAGAGGACCACTAACCTTGAAAAGTAGGTGGCAGAGTACCTAATGTGAGGGTTTCGAATTCAACCGACTCCATCTTGAACTTGGCAGTGTTCTCAGCGATAATTGGTTTTGCAATCTCTTTCGCAGTTTTGCATATTGCCTGCGCAAGAACTGTTTAGGTAAGCACGGAATCAAAAGAAGAGAACCAACTCGAGGAGCTGCCATCGGGTCCTCCAAATACTCGAGGAATTTGCTGAGATTTCCAAAGAGTAGTCACCTTGTCGAGATACGGCCACATATGCTCGAGAAACTTGTTTAGCCAGTCGATCTTCGAGGACAAAATCAAAACAAGTTTAGTTTCCAAAAGCGGTTCTGTAGACTACACGCATCATAAACATGAACCAGAAATGGTGTTTTCTTACTCGATCGAAGTCTGGATTTTTCACCCACACAGGAATTTCAGGAAACATGTGCTCCAGTGATTTTGCATCTTGTTCAAATAGCGGTCGGATTTCAGGATCCTGAGTATGTTCTTACCATTACCAGGATGACAAAAACGTAACATCTAGTCTACCAGAAAATAATAAGATTGCGATGTTGATCGACAAAGCAAAAAATGTCCTTGCGCTGCAATTTGGATGATCTGAAGACGCATAAATTAACCACGACTCTTTGATTTATTCGGACGATCTGAAGATACATCATGCGATTCTTAAACTCCAATGTATGGGTATCTATTGGCGGAGGCATAACAAGGATCATGCAGATATTATCACATTATAAGCAGCATATCACGAAGCCGAACTATAAAGCCGCCATAATACAATACTTAACGGCGGTCGCAAAAGCATCAGAGGAAATTATATGATCCAAATTTCTCCAGCGCTCTTGATCTGCTAAGGTGAAAAAAAAAAAAAGGAACAAACTGCCACAATTCGCAGCGACAACAAATCCTCTCGAGAAGAAGTCAATCGATCGAGAAAACGTGAAGAACCGCCAAAAAAGGCCACCCTCAAAGAGCGGAGAAATATCAAAATCATACCTTCACATCCGTGGGCTGGAAGTAGATGAAGAGGTAGTAACCGATGACCAGCCCGACGGCGATCCCAATTCCGAAGCCGAAGAAGCCTAACACGGAGCTGAAGAATCCCATCTCCGATATCTTCTACAGAAGCTCAACGGACGCGGAGGCGCGAAGGAACGCTCAAAGCAGAACGAAAGAAAGAAAAGGGGAAAAAAATCGCACCTTTCCGCACTGTGATCACCGAATCACCTAAATCTCCTTCCCCTCTGATCCGAACCAAGCAATCGAGAAGAGGAAGACTCCGAAGAAGAAACGGTCAGGAGAAAGGGATACAGAGAAGATCTACGTTTCCGACGCCGAGCGGGAATTAGTGGCAGCCGTAAAAGAGGGAAGAGCAGCGTGTGTGCACGCGCCTGTGTCGTCGGTAACGCCCTGCCGCTGCATGGAGCTCGGAAACCACTGCCCGTTACAGTCACCACCGCACACTTGTTTTATTCTCTCTGACTCCCTAATCCACCCATTTATCTGCTAAGTGTCACTATTCTGCACCAAATTTACGTACAGAACTTTGTAATGTCTGGTGAACGGTTACTTCCGTTGGGTGTCGTGGAGGGATGCCATGCTTTCTCCGCACTAAAAGATGACCGGAGTAGGGAAGGACGGTGGCGTGGACACGTTTGGGTCAAACGGACCCTCCATTTCCCGGGTGGAAATGGAGTCCTTTACATTCGGACATCTGCTGTAACGGACTCAACGGCCTCATGACTACTTCTGATCCGTGGATGGAGACGAGTGATGTGGATGGATGGAGGGAGGGAGTTAATGTCAAAATTTTTAGGTAATTTATCAGAATCAGTTTGATTAGGTTTGACTCTATTTTTTTAAGATTTTATCCTCTCTTTTTTAATCGATCATATCAGACCGATTCAACTAAGTTTTAGCTATTTGATTTGATCCATTTGAATTTAATTGTCACTTGATTTCTCTCAAATTATCCCGCACTACCAATCAAAAAAATGGAATAAGGAAGTTTCCGCCAATCGTCATCTCCAACGCCAACCTCCTTCTTCTCCTTAGACACCGTCGAAGAAGCAAGCCTTACGAAGCCTCAGTGATTAGGTCGCCATCGTCCTAGCCTCGTAGTGGTAGTGATAGTGGTCCCCACTCATTGTCGTTGCTAACATCATCCTCCTCGTTGGTTACTATCATCATCGAAGAAGCCTTGGGAGCCTTAAGTGATCAATGTATATCACCTTAACCCCAACGAGCAAAGCCCTAGCCTGGCGGTCGATAGCATTCTCATTGGTCACCATTGTCCTCCTTCCCATTGGTCACCGTTGCCATCAACAAAGCCCTATGGAGTCTTGATGATCAATGAGTGTTGCCCTAACCCTCATTTAGCTTTATGGAGCCTCGTTGAATCGCTTTGTCATTCCTCCCTTTTGATGGTGCATACTCTGCTAGTGGAAGTGGAAGACTTGGTTATAGGTTGTGATCGAAGGCTTCATTCATGACATGACATGCAAAGTTGCAAGATAAATGTGGAATGTGGAATGGTTACAAGGCCGCATGATCAACCGTTGTATCGGTGAAGCCTTTGCAGTGCCGTTTGAAGTCTCCACAGCCTCCTTTGCAATGTCAATCATTCGATGCATCGTCACATTATTCATTGCTATAACAAAAAAAAAAAGAGTATTAGATAAATATATCTTTGTAGTTTGGTATTATTAATTTTAAAATATTTAAATAATAAAACAAGGCTACTTTTGATAGGGATGATCCTCTTTCAAATAGAATATTCAATATTCTAGATAATATAAATAGTTTCAATAAAACATAACTTTTGCCGATAATTCTTTTTTAAAATCAAAAGTATTTTTCGGAAGTAGTCATCCAATACTAGACGCAGTTGAAAGACAATTTCAAACATTAGACTTTGTTTGGGGAAGCAGTCATGAGTTATAAGAGCAAATTAAAGGATCTTCTACTATACAACCTCAAAATTATAACTTCAATTTGAATGATATATAGTGGATGACAATGAAGATAGTTACAAAATATTTGAAGAATATGAAGAACATATACGATGTTTGTAATAGTCCCAAAAATATAAATTCACTGCTAAAAGATGTTTGTAGATTTCTAATAACATATATGATGGAGACAATATGAAGAACAGTTATGGAGTGATTTTGTTTGCATCGTCATACTACCACTGCTATCACTAATATTGATATCAAAGTTAAAAGATAAGACTGAATTCTGTGTTGTTCATCCTCATTCGAGTGATATGGTCCGAGTCTAAACATCTACAAAGACAATTATAATAGACTTAAAAAAGAGAATCTATTCATGTTTATGTTTTGATATTTCTAGTATGCTATGCTCTTATGTAATAGCTACTATTGGGATTTTGAACTCCAATTCATATCAATATTCATGTCTATGTTTTGATTGTTTTTTAGCATAATATTTATAGAACTTACAATGGCACCATCTTCCCAACAAGAAGCAAGTAATATTAGATTAAAAAAAATAGACGATAAGATTAGTTTGCCTTTGAAGAGTGTAAAAACAGTCGAGGCAAAGATAAAATCAAGGCATGATGGCAAGATCCCTAAAGGGTGTTCGAGGTGTCAATAATTAGGTTACAATTAACGGTCATGCAAATGTTGACTGATCGTATAAGTTGATGTTGTCAATTATGAAGTAATGTGGTATCTTTAGTCTTTTGTTATACCCTAATTTTGGTCATTCTTTATTGTCTACATTGTCTATCAGAGATGGTTTTTCTTATGTATAGTATACCTATATAAGTATACATATATATCTTTTTAGCAAATGCATCATAACATTATTAAACATTGTAAACTGTTGATAATTTGAGTCTAAAGCTATCATTTTATAATTGATGTTACAATCCTTGTTGTAATTATGTTTTAGTTGTGTTTTGAGAGTGGATTTTAATTGAGATCATGTTTTTGTTGAGATACAAATGGGATAGGAGCGGATCATAATGTGTCAAATTTTATTAATTATACTAAAATCTTTAAAAATAAAAATATTATTAATTGATATAAAATTATATTTTCGGGAGAAGTTTGGATTAATTTATGAGATAGGATTAAAATCTTATATTCAGATCATAATATACTAAATTCCATTAATTATGCTAATTTTTTTTTTTAAAAGTACTAGTAATCAATTTAAAATCATATCATAGTGGTTTTGGAGAAGTTTATATTAGTATGGTGAAATGTAACTCGAGTTATACTTGATTTATAAATGAGACGAGATTATAATCTTATATTCGGATTATGACATGTCAAATTTTATTGATTATGCTATTTTTTAAAAAAAAAGTGCTACTAATCGACTTAGAATCATGACATAATAGTTCTAAAAAAGTTTTTAGCAAATGCATCATAACATTATTAAACATTGTAAACCATTGATAATTTGAGTCTAAAGTTATCATTTTATAACTGATGTTACAATCCTTGTTGTAATTATATTTTAGTTGTGTTTTGAGAGTGGATTTTAATTGAGATCATGTTTTTGTCGAGATACAATTGGGATTGGAGCCGATCAAAATGTGTCAAATTTTTTAATTATACTAAAATCCTTAAAATAAGAAAAATATTATTAATTGATATAAAATTATACTTTTTGGAAAAGTTTGGATTAATTTATGAGATAGGATTAAAATCTTATATTCAGATCATAATATATCAAATTCCATTAATTATGCTATTTAAAAAAAAATTACTAGTAATCAATTTAGAATCATGTCATAGTAACTCGAGTTATACTTGATTTACGAATAAGACAAAATTATAATCTTATATTGGGATCATGATATGTCAAATTTTATTAATTATGCTATTTTTTTAAAAAAAAGTGCTACTAATTGATTTAGAATCATGACATAATAGTTCTAAAAAAGTTTTTATTGGTTTAGTGAAATGTAATTTAAGCTACACTCGAGTTATGAATATGATAGGATTAGAAACTTCAAATAAAAAAGTATCATATTTTATTAGTTATATTAAAATTTTAAAAAAATAAGTACTACTAATTGACTTAAAATCATGTTAGTTGCACTCAAGTTACAAATGAGATAGTATTAGAATCTTACATTCAAATCACAACATACTAAATTATATTAATTATATTAAAATACTTTAAAAAAATACTACGAGTCGATATATAATCATATAACATTAGGTTTGGAGACGTTTGGATTAGTTTGGTAAAAATTCAATAAGTTACACTCTAATAGGGATAATCCTATCTCATTCCAACTTATCATCACGGAAGTAGACACCTAAGCAGGACTTTGAGTCATCAACTCCTCGACGATAACATATCATGAGCACACCCTAATATACTCTGCATTGATGGCTAGCAGCATAGCGTAGCCTCAGTAATCCTTCCTGTCAAATAAAGGACGAGAAGACCATTTTCTGCTTGTACAAAAGAAGGAAGGGAGTCCGACCACAAGGTGATAGCCCAGACAGTCCATCCGACATAGCCCACCAGCAAGTTGCTTGCCTTAACTCCTTCGTCTCACTAGGATCAGAGGACGAAATGATAAAGAAAGATTTTTGCTATAATGATCAGTCCATTAACCTGATCTTATCTTTGATCAACCAGTACAAAGGTTAGTCGACCCAACCAAGCACCCAAGTATAAAAGTTGGCTAACCAAGCACCCAAGTATAAAAGCTTCCCATAGCTCACAATGAAGAGTGGGGGGAGGGGTGGTTAAGTATCGAAATGGTTGAGCCAAGAAGTCCCCGGGGTCGACCCGTCGTGTAGGATCATTAGCACCCAATAAATTATAGGAAAATCTGAGGGCGACATCACATGTGCAACGGAAGAACAAAAAACAAAATTCTTAATTTTCCAAAGATGTATTCGTCGTCATGCGAAGATTGATGTGCAAAATCTACGAAACTTAAAAATACATATATGAAAGATTGTGTTACCTAGGGAGATCGTATATCCTTGAATTCCTACAGATCTGTAGGAGAGGGTGAAGGAGGTCAAGCATCCTCCTTTCTAGCGGTGATCTATACAGTAGGGCTACGACGATGCTCCTCGAATCTTTAGGCCTACTATCTAAGGAGGCGAAGGAGAGGAGAATAGGAGATAACAACCAAAAAGGCTCTTGCCTATGAACCATTAGTTCCCTCCTATTTATAGATGTCCCCTGTCAACTTAACCCTAATGGATCCTACCATTTTGAGTATTGGATCTCCATCCAACTACCCAAGCTTCTTAGATTAGTGGATCTCTATCCAATAATATCTTATTGGCTCTTAATGGATCTCATCCATAGGATCCAATAATTTATGGGCTTATTGGATATCCAATAAGATAGGGGCTCCAACGGATATCTCATATATGAACCTCT